GTGTCAGAAATAAGCTACAGGCATGAGTTTCGAGATACCTAACTAGGGCGGAATCATGTGACAGAAATCAGAAGTTGCAGGCTCATGTTTCGTACCTTAATTTTAATTTAACTTTGCTTTATAGCATTTGGACCAGGAAAGTGTATGCGATGCCTGACCGCCTTCTTGCTTTTTTGGTATATGTCGCCGATTCTACAGCATTCGACCTTTTTATTCCTTGATATAGCTTGCTTTAAATTCCTTCTGTGTGCAAGTCAGCTACTCTCTTTTTGGGTTGTGGATTGCTGGGAATTGTGCAAAAATACAATTTAGGCTCTCTGACCTAAAATTATAATTTGTTTCGTAAAAGTTTAGTATGAGATTGAGATTAATTAAAAATTTATGTATAAAATATCACAACTTTCTAAAACCTATTTTTACTTTTCTACATTGCCTCTGGGATGGATTTAAAAAGGTTTTAGGTTACATGACTATCACGCAAGTCCTACTAATATGGCCACCATATTAGGACATATTGTCTCACTGCATCATATTTGCATGTCCCAAAGAGAAGTCCCCGCACTTCTTCAACCCACCTGACCAAGCATAAGATTTCTAGTTAGGTTTAGGGTGTTAGAGGCTTCTCCGACCTAGACGAAGAATAAGTTCTTCGTGAGTGTCTCAGCATCGTGGTCATACCTCTCTTCTCTTTCCACTCCAGTGACTTCCTCACCAATTTGGAAGGTATAGGTCCCACCACAATTTTCTAGCTACATAGGCTCATATGATGTAGAGTTTCTTTTTCCTGACCTTAAGGCTACTGAAGTTCCTTTAGACTACGCAATTCATGGATTGTTGACAAAGAACCACTGGTTGGGTTGGGATGACTACCTACATGACCAGGTAAGTTTAGGATCCCAATAACTTGGGATGACAGATCCATAATATCCTAACCTGACTATCTTGCCCGCTTAGAATTACCCAACCATTCCTTTGTTATACCTAGATTGAGCTATATCGCACCTTTTGAAGCTTCCTCAAAGTCATCTCATAGACCCTAATTGCGGATAGGCCGCCCGTTTGGGATGTGTTGATTAACCCTCTATCCTTATATTCCGATTAGGCTTGAAAGCATAGTGAGAATCCTATGGAACGACTTCATTAATTCATAGGCCCCATTCTACGATGAGTCATTACCCATTGAGGATCGTTAGAGACTCACTCTCTGTCATGTGGCTTAGCGAGAGGTTTGAAGGCATCGGGATGCTCCTATGAGATAACCATGTGACACCCTCTCACTCTAGTCATCACTTAAATGTAAGCATGATTTTTTAATCGAGCATGTTCTTGGGCATCCCCCAAGATGTAACTTAACAAATAGTATATGTTTCTTTGAAAATGCTCTTGAACCCAGACCAAACACACAAATTTCATTCTCCAATTACTTGGGTAGCTTATGTATGTATTCTTTTATGGATATAAAGTTTAAGATGCCTCGTTCCGATCATTTTTTAGACATACACTCTTGACCTATTGCACGAGGTTTACCTCACGTAAGCTCTCCATGTTCTTTCTTCAATTTGTCTGCCTAGTCTCCGTCTAATTGTTCTCTTTTCTGATCCCTCCACTTCTCAGAATAATTATGATAGTTCAAGTAATAGGTTTCTTTAAAAAGGGAATCTCAAAATTATGATTAGACAGGCTCCCTAGTCCGAGTTACATAAAAAAAGAACCGAAACACACATATCCAACACAAGCTTCAATTTTTACATAAATGCTACCTTACCTATCCTTGAAAAGATGTATTTCACATTTTAAAAATTAAATTAATCTTATTTTTTATGAGACGAAATATTTGGATATTATAAATGTAAAATGCAAGGTGTAGGAATTAGAAATGTAAATACATAAGAATTGAGAGTTGTATACATAAATGCACCTTCAAATTTTAATTTAAATGTGAACATAGAAGATAGTGTGTTGTTATGTTAAATATGAAAATATATAAGAATTTTGTGGTATATATGCGTTAGGCATAATTTAACCAAGTACTAATATAGTTCATCTCACGTAACTTTGATCGATACAATATTCAATATTAAGTATGGTTAGATAGATTCTGTGTTCACTAGGAAGATGCATATAGTCAATAACCCATTTCTTAAGACACAATTTTGAAATGATGATCAAACAATTTCTAGATATTAACTCTACCCATTGGCATTTAAGATGTCTCGTGATGAATCATATAGAATAGTACGATCATTCCTATAATGAATTTGCACGTCATGAGTTGTTTAATTAGGCAATGGGGAATGCATAAGAAATTGTTAATTCATCACTTTATATCAGTTATCGACGTACAGTGTAGTAATTGCATAAATATTAAATGAATTGTTTATCATCATGTATTTTTACCATCAAGCTTCTTCAGATTAGCTAAAACCTTTATTTTTCATAATTTTATACTCGAATATATTGGTCAATAAATTAGATATTCATAATGCAACATCTTGAATGTACAATAGATCACATTCGAGAAGAAAAAGATTAACATATAAGCGTTTCAATGGTGTTGAGTATTTCATATAAAAAACATCACAATTCTTACTTATCTTTAAGAGCATAAGTTAAATGTCCATATGTGAAACACAAGAACCAAATATATATACCAACAAATAAATTTAGATTGGATTTATATCATATATAGAGGGTTTAACCAATAATTAGTTCTAGATTTCACTTGATGAGTATGAACCACATATCGATTCTCAGACAATTGTTTAATGAGCATTTCTTCTAAAAAATGAGTATAATTCTAGTAAATTTGAAAAAAAAACTGTATTTGAAGCAATAAGAGTTTAGTTTGTTGAATCACTAGAAGAGGATGAGCTATCAATTACATAGCTCAGGTTCTATGAACTATTGAATGTCATGCTAGCCATTTAAACTTATTTATAACTATTAGAAGGTTAAGCATCAAAATTTACTACAAGATTCACTAAGAATGCTTCAATTAGAATGTAGTATTATTAAAGGAGAAAATTTTAAATTACAACAAAGGACTTGTATATAATAAAAAAAATTAGTGTCAAAGTTAGGTTTGACCTAACAAAAGAAAGATTATTGTTCAATGATTGCAAGTTATTTTGCAAGAATGATGAAATAGAGATTGAATGTAGATTTTCTGGCACTTTAAAGTTCAAACCATAGTAAAAATATTATTAAAAAAAAGGATGTTATATACAAATGTCTCTTTTATTTCTACTTATTCCACCACTTAAATGACTAAAAATTTTATGTATATAGCTCAACATATTGTATGACACTGAAAAGTTTTACAAGAAATTTTTTTTTGATTCGTCCAAAAGTTGGAGCAGCATTAAAGTGCTTTGACAATAATAATTCTGAATTTACAATTGCATCTCATATTATTTGGTTTTGTTTATATGTTGATGGTTTCACGTTATACAATCAACAATCGTGCTGGCTCACTTTACTCATACTATTCTACGATGGTTATAACGTATAACATACTCCTGAGATGTGATAATGTCTTTTATTTTTTTCAAACTAATTATACTAAGTGCACATAGCTTAAAAGAAAAAATTGATTTATATTTTTAACATTTAATCACTTAAGTCAGTTTTATTACATTATTAGGGTGTTGAACAAACTTAGTTTTTTTATAACACTAGCTCTCAATCAATTTAGTTAATATCCTTAATTACCCAAGAAAACTAGAATAGCTTAAAGGAATAAAATGAATTATTAATGATATTTAATGCCACTAATATTTATAAGATGTTAAGCAATGGGCTTAATGCTTTTTATGGGTAACATGGTGTTAAGCAAAGGTCCTTTAGACTTGAATCAAACCTATTAAGTTCAATAGTAGGTCCATTCCAACCTCTAATAATAAGGTCAGCATGATTTGAAATCAAACAATATTCATATTTCTAATATGCAAATGAGGGACCTTTATATGATTGTTTTTCTTATTTTTCTTATCTTTTGCCAAAATCTTAAACTTAATTCCATATATGTCTAAATGACTAGATATGTCATGAACGTCCATCTAGGCTCTTGCTAATAAGTAACATATTTATGCTAAGATGATTAACCCAATAATAAAGCACTATATTTGATTGTGCATTGAGAGGCAATGCACATTTGATTCAATAAATTAGCAAATGAAACCGTCTTACAATCTTTTCATAAATTTGAATGTTGAGAAATAAGAGGATTGGAGCTAGTTATCAGTGGCTACAAAAGTTTACATTAGTCTTCTATAAACCTTGGATGAAGAACCACGTGGAATTTTTAGGAGTGATCAATATTGGATGGTCAACTTGATAAATCTTATTACGGGACTGTAGTTAAATAACTAAAATTATGGACATTATATGTTAAATGTTATTAAATGACTTATATTGTGAGGAGTCGATGTTAGTTGATGGCAAATGTGTTTAGCAATGATAACAAAAGAATAAGTGTTGGTGGAATAGTATTGTTAGTCAACTGTCATTGTCTAGCAATGGCGATAACTGTGATAGATTCGGTTAATGGTTGGCATCTAGTGATGGCAATGATAGCAAGTGGAGCTTTTGGTTTCCTTGTACATTTTTATGGAAAAAGCACGCACAATCATTATTATTGAGACAGCCATTTTTACTACCAATCCTTCATAAATTTTTAATTATGCTTCCAATTGTTTAATTTTAACCACCATTTGTACATGCTCTTATTAATACATTATTAGTGACCCTGATTTTATCTTATTGAACCACACTAATTTGTCTTACTCTAATTAAACTAGCTGAAAATATATATCTCAAATCATCTCAAAATTAAATGAAAAAATTTGTAGCTCAAATCTCTAGCTGTTTTGAAATAAAAATCAATATTAGAATTCGAAATTAATAATATACATTTTTAGAGAGAGAGAGAGAGAGAGAGAGAGAGAGAGAGAGAGAGAGTACAAATGCATTGATTAAATCACAACAACGAATTACATCGCTTAGATGGTCTCGGAGTTGAGCCGAAGCATGAGCATGCAAAACTCGTTGTGATCCAACGCCCCATCTCCATTCAAATCCCCCATTCTGAGCATCCCCACCGCCTGTTCCTCTCCCAACTCACCAATGCCCAATTTCCGAGCATTCTGCATCAAGCTTTCCAGCGTAATCATCCCCCTCTGAGGATCCACCAGGTGATAAAACCCCCTATACAACTCCTCCAACAGCCCGCTGGTGCCCAGCCTCTCCGCCATCGAAGGCAGGAAGTCCACGAAGCCGCGCAAGCATTCCTGATTCGCCATCAATTGCAGATTAGATTAGATGGAAGAGAGAAGGGGACTGTTTTTTGAATGGATTAAGCGATCCATCGATCTCTTATATATAAGTTGTTATTGATGGGAGCGTGAGGTTAGGAACGTATGGAGTTGAGAATTTTTCTTGACGGGATTATCACGTTGGATCCTTGGACTAGGGAACTTTGACAGATAAAGCCCCACCTGGCTTGACGCTCATTTTCCAGGGTGAGTGAAACGTGTTGACCTCAAACTGTATTTTTTTTAATAAATACTTGCATTTATTTTCATTTAGTATTTTCTTATGAGAAAAATTAATGAATGGACTTGACACTCAGAAATTGTCAGTTTATTCTTTTTTTTTTGAAAATTTTTGTAGTAGGACGTTTTGATGGTATTTCTCATTAAAATGAATATGAATTCGTTAAGTTGTATGTGTTACAGATTATGTCATATATTTTATAAGTAAAATAATGAATTATTTGTTTGTAAGAATTGTTTTCTATTTTTTCTTAGAATTAGTTATGACTTCTATGAATATATTTAATTTTTAACCATTTATGTTTTGGCTATTTGTTTTTTTATTTTATTTAAGAATACATTTATATGCAAAACAACACTATCAAAATTAGTTGTATTAGGCATAACAAATTTTAATGATTTAAAAATCATTGCTGAATTGCCTTTTTAATAGTGGTTTAAACTGCTGCAAAATTGAGAAAATTTAGGCTTACTAGGAGTACTTTAAAATGTTGTTAGTGAGAAAAATTGACAAATATTTCACCTATATTATATAGCAAAATTGTACAAATCATACCAAGCTTAGTACAAAAGTTACACCAAAAGAGCATTTTAATGGATTCATCTTAAGGTTGTATAGACAAAGACATTTTAAAATAATTCTCATGTCAAATAAATGGTCTTCTATTTCTTTTCTCTTAACCATCAGGTTGTCAATGTAGTATTCAACTTGTATGTGGATGAGTATGTCAAAAATCTAGATCATGGCTCGTTGATAGGTAACACCAACATCCTTTAAGCTGAAAAACAAAACTTTGTAGCAGCCTACTCCAATTATGGTTCCGAATGCAATATGTTTTTCATCTTTAGAAGCCATCTTGATTTGATTATAGCCTAAAGATTCATTCATAAATGAGAAAATCACGTGCAAAGAAGCAATGTCAATCTTTAAATCTAGTATAGGCAGAGGGAATTTATCTTTCACACATGTATATTTTAGATCTTAAAAGTCAATACACGCATGAATTTATCAATTCTTCTTTTTAATCAAAACGATACTGGTCAACCAGGAATAATATTTTGTTTCTAAAATAAAATTGACATTGATAAATTTTAGTGGAGGAGTTTCCATGATTTGGGGGACCCTTGGTCCATGGCTCAACAGAGGGCTGACCTAGTGATGTGGTTAGCATCTCAAGGTTTTAAACATGGCTCTGGTGATTTAGGCTTGGATTAATTTGATGGATTTCAGGTGGATTTGGGATTTAGGGTAAAAAATGAGGTTTAAGCTTGGATTTGGATTTGGTCTTGTTTTCGGCTTGGACTTAGACCAATTGAGGGTTCAAATTGGCCTAAAAAATGTCATGATAAATTTGGAAAACAAATTTTGTGGAATTAGAGTGATTACATGGCTCAACTTGATGGAATTTGGAATCGGGGTCAATTTTGGGGTAGTTGATTTGGGCTTGGAATTTGGGTTTGAAATTAGATTAAATTGGGTTTGAATTAGGTTCACATTGGGCTTGAACATGATGACATTTAATTGGGATTTAAAATTTGGTGAATTTGAAATGACTTTGGTGGAGATTGGGGGTAAATTGCAGACTTTGGGAATTTAGGGGTAATTTGGGAATTTTGGCCAATTTTGATGGATTTGGGTGTAATTGGAGACATTGGGTGGTTAGCATTTGTTTTGGGGATGTTTGGAGTGAAGGGTTTGGGAAGTTTTTGGACATTAGGGGGTATTTTGGTAATTTTGGGTGGTGTAGGGATATTTTGGTAATTTTAAGGATTTTGGGGGTATTTGGACAATTGAGGTAATTTGAAGTGGTTCAATGTGATTTTTGGTGAAGAAATGGGAGTCTGAGCAATTTTGGGATTTTTAGGGTATTAGGGGCATTTTATTAAATTTTGGGAAATCAGGGGTAGAAGGTCTAGGTCGGGTGTTTTGGCGGAGTTGAAATTAGTTGGGCACGGTGGCCATGTAAACCATGGAATTACATACTCCCCCACACCCCCCTTCTCCTAAGGCTATAGAAACCATGGGAGAGCTCATTTTGGATTCTCCACATGTTGGTGTTGGCCTCCTAGCCAAAGGCTAAGGGCTTGGGACCACCCACATGAGATTCCAAAAGAGATAAGGAGAGATAAGGAGGTAGGTTAAGCGCAGTGTGATTTTAGGGTTTTGAAGTGTGTGAGGTTGTGATGAGCCTATGTGTGTGTGTGACCAAGACCAAGTCACCCAAGGTTGCTCTAAGGTCTTCCTAATCCTATTGTAACTCATCCTTAATCCCCTACATGTTGGTCTGAACCATCTTTAGTGAGAAATAAGGGCATAGGACTACCATGTGAGACTTCACCAGAAGTGCAAAGAAGTGTTTATAATTTCTATGTGAGAGGGATCCATCACTAGTATTCTAGGATAGTTAACAAGAAAACCCTAAGGCTAGATCCTAGATTTCTAAAGATGAGAAACTAGACATCATAAAATATGAGGTCAACAAATGGACCCTCAATAGATTTGGTGTGCTGGAAAAGCACACCGCACGTATTGGTGTTGATCAAAGTAATCAATAAAACCAACATAACTGTCTAAACCCTCTGACATGCTTAAAATATGTTACTTTTATCTACACAATTAATGTCTATTTTTAATGATATTGTGCTTTAATGAAAGATATTTTTGATTTTTTTGTTTGTAGGTACATTAAATGGAGAAAATGAAACAAAAAAAATGCAAGTTGGAGTCAAAAGAAGTAAAGAGACCAATGTTGATTTGGCACCTAGGTGCCAGAAAATAGAGAGCTTGACGCCTAAGCTCTAGAGGCAGTTATCTATAAGATTTAATGAGAGTGGACGAATTTTGAAGAGATGCTTGAAGAAACTCTTGGGATTTTTGAGAGCTCAATTTAAATAGACTTGTGAAGATTCAAAGGGGGGTTCTTTTAGAGAGAAAGGGAGTTATTTTAGAGAGAATAGGAGTCTCCTTAGAGAGAAGAAAGTCTTGGAGGATTGCTTAGATTTGGAGGAGAAGAGGAGAAGTGAGAGATATCTTCTTCACTGCAGTTCTAAGTGAGATTGGAGTGGAATTGTAAGGAGAGTGAGTGATTCAAAGAAACTTGAAAGATTACTTGGGAAGGAGTTAAAGATAAGTTGTGCATTTTGTTTATTTTACTTAGTTTTTCTATGTAAACTTAAATTTATCTATAAATTCATGTGTTGTTGCTTCTTACTCATGAGGTCCGAGTAGTTTCCTTTATCTTTCTCCTGCAATGAGGAATAATTATGTGTAGGAATAAAGTTTAGTAGAAACGTATTGATCCGAAATGGGCTATGATTTCCTCGATATGGTAAGAATCACGTATTGATCTGAAATGGGCTATGATTTCCTCGATATGGTAAGAATCATATTTAGTTTCACAGAATGAATATAGACCATGGGATTAGGTGCAAATAAATGGGAAAATAAGTTTTGATGGGCGTATAATTAGACATTTTAGATTGATAGACTAAAATCCTCAATTTGTCTCAATTGTTTGGAAACTAGGGTTGTTAGCCTTCACGTGAGGAAGGGAGATTCCAGCCTAAACACGGGTTTAGGGACTCAACTCTGGATTAGCCAAGGTTCTTTATGCACTCGAGAGAGGGTAAAGAATATGTATGCTCCTATTTGACATAATATATTAATTATATTTAAAATTATTTTATTCCTACAATGATTATAAACTCATTGCAAGGGAAGAATGTTTTATACAAATTTGACCTCTTCTACACATTGTTAATTTAGAATTGTTTAGTGGTAACTTTACATTTTAGCCTTTAGTCTTGCATTTACATTCTACATTTTCTTAGCATACTTAGCATTCCTTTTAATTCTATAGGATTAAGTAATATACAAAAACTTTTTTATCACTCCCTTTATAATTTAACTACAATTTAAAGAAGATTTTACTAAAGTCGTTCTATGTCATTCTATAAGAGTTTTACCCCTATGGAATTGATACTTAGGACTCCATTAGAGCCCTATATGACTTGAAATGATATGTGTACTTGCGTAGTACCACTTGTGTGTAAACCATTTAATTAACTTAATATAATATTTAATTTTACACCCTAGTTGCTAAATATAAATTAGGTTAAGCTTTCAACCATATTTCTGAACTAAATTACTACGTAATTATGGGTTGGGTCACCCTCACACTCAAAATGGCGCAGAGAAATGAACAAGAATTCAAATTTGAGCAAGCTGGGATAAAAATGAAGAAGCAAGAGAAAATTTATGCTGGGAAAATAGGGGGCGTATTTTAAATTGAAGTTGTGAATTTATGTCATGATTATCTTGTCCATGAGGATAACCCTGTAAAATTCATGGAAGGCACTTAATATTTAAGTGTAGCGATTTCGTTAGAAATTGAAAATAAGGTAGTGAGATGTGATGAGTTAAAGGATGAATTGACCTCATTTATCAAGTATGTTTGTGTTTGTGTTACAACAAAATAGAAGACTTATGGAATACTTACAAATATATTTCTATGCTAATGCCTGTTATGCCAGTTAGACTTTTATCTAGTCAATTTCATTATGGCTAATTAGTTTAGATTTACTGTCTATTGCACATTGTTTTGTCCTAAGTATATTTGTAAATGTTTTAATAGACACCCGCAGTATATTGTACTTTTGGATTGTGATTTTTCTTCTTCCTTATTTTTTCTGTACTGAATACTATACATATTAAAAATCAAGTTTGGGGGAAGAAAGAAAATTAAATTTCAAAAATAGTATACTTCCTTTTAATTTAATAATTTTGCAAGCATGTTTTAGGCTATATTTACTTTCTTCTACAATCATTCTCTCCTGATTATGCATGTATATGAATTTAATAGGAATGTTGTAATACCT